TCCCAGCCTTCTTCCTGCAGCCGTTCCTTCAACAGTACTGTTTTGCCACCGTCCAGTCTTTTCTGTGTCTCTCTCTGGCTATCCTGGGCTGTTCCTCGTTTTCCCGTCTTCACCTGTAGGCACCCAGATCTCCTCCCAGGACCCGTGGATGACTCTGCCTGGATTTTGCACGGTTCCAGTCCTCTCTCCCCAAAGATGACTCCTCTTCCTTATTCCCTGTGTCAGTAGTTGGAGCTGCCGTTTACTCCTGGCCCTCGCTGGACAGCCATGAGCAGTGCCTTGCTCCTTCCCAGCCTCCCCGTCCCGTCAGTCACCCTGATGTGTGGCTTGTGCTGCAGAAGTCTCTCTGTGGTCAACGCCTTCTCTCCAACCCCAGGGCAGCTATTGCAATTCTGTTCCGGTTTCCACCATTTCTCACCTAATTTACCTCCAGAATTATCCATCCTTTCAGTCTCCTCCCCCTGCCCACTTCTGATGTCAATGATCTTTGAACGTCACAAATGTAACTGTCATTCTCTTGCTTGAGGCATGTCTGTGGCCTCATCTCTTTGAGGGTACATTTCTCTCTAGGCATCCAGGCGGGTCTGGTTATGTTCTGATTTTCCAGGCTCACACTCTGCGGTTCCCCTCCGCAGCACTCACACATACACGGCACCTTCAGCCCCATAAGAGCCTTTCCCTTGAAAGAGTCCTGCTTGTCCTGGCCGCTCTGCTCTGACCCACACTGCTCCGTCTACCTGGAATACCCACTCTTCCATTCCTTCAGATGCGTTCTGACCTTTTGGTTCTCTGAGCCTTTCCTGAACAGGTGTCCCGCAGGCAGGCCCCCCAACCCCCACACAGCTGTCTTAGGTCTCAGCGTTCCATGTGGGAGCTGGAACGGTTTGCCTGTCTATCTCACTTGCCTGTATATGTTAGAAAAAACCATGTCTTCTCCAAATTTCCTGTCTCATATGTGCCCAGCATCTACTGACTGCAAAGAAATGTGTGTTGATTTTAGATTCTGACTGTAGGTTCTTAACCACATGAAAAGTCATCGAGGTCACAAGGATGGACTTCATTTGCATTAAATTCCTGGGAGATATGGTGATCACGAGTTGTGTTTTCTGACCAAAAAATGCAAATAATTATCCATTCTTTACTAAATACATGAATAGTAAAGTTGTAAAAGTAATGCTGCCGTGACTCTCAAGGGGTATCCAGCTTTGCCTCCCAGACACCCGCGACTCCCCGAGCAGTCCCTGCTGAGGCGAAAGACCATCTCTGCGTCCCCTGCAGAGCCCAGCCCATCCTCTCCTCGTCAGATCCGCCTGCGGCAGCTTCATGCTACCCAGGCACACCTTGGGCTGTCGGTTCTCCACAACCCCTTGCACAACGCAGAGTTTCAGGGGCGCTGACCCCTGGAAGTCCCTGCTCGTTCCGTCCGTTTCCTAAAGAGCTCCTGCCAGACAGGCCACCTTGTACACATAAGCCACAGTGCGGGAAGCCCTTGGCGTCCCCCGATGGGAAGCTGCCCGTGCTTTTCTGGGCTGGACTTCTATGTCATTAGTTACCCTGCACTTCCGCTGTGGATATTCAGATAAAGACAAGTACCGTATAACAGCACCTATATGTGGGATCTAAAAAATACGACAAACTAGTGACTATAACAAAAAAGAAGCAGACTTGCAGATACAGAGAACAAACTAGTGGCTTCGGGATTAGGGGTACAATCCATTGGGTGTAAGACAGGTTCGAGGATGTATTGTACAACACAGGGAATATAGCCAATAATTTGCGATCACTGTAAATGGAGTATAATCTTTAAAAATTGTACAAAAATTTAAAAATAGTCTAAAAAATAAAACTGAAAAATTCAGAGAATGTCTCGGCAACTCAGTCTACCTTGGAGATGTTAGCAATGAGAAAGAGGAACGAACTGACAGCGGTTATCTGGGCTTGCCTTTGAAACCCTTGCCTCCTCTAAGCAGAAGAGCGAGTGCCTCCCTCCCTCTAACTGCAACAGACCTTTTTCGTCTTTTATTTACATTAAAAAGCATCACTATAAGAGACACATTTTAATGCCTCTCAGTCTTCCTTCTCAGGAACTTTATTCTCATATTTGACTTCCATGCTTTCATGCTATAGTTTCCGTCCTCAGGGAGAAGAAAAGCTGATTGGCATTATCTGTCTTGAAAGTCTGTATTTTTTATGGCCATCACTAAATCTCCTGGACACAACATCTTCTCTAAACACAATAAGATTAGTTCCTTTATCTTTTCTGCATATATTGCATTTTCCAGTTCTTTGGGTCTGTTAGGACTGACCTCTTGTAAATTACAGTAATAGACACTGAAGAGTGCCAGAGAGGAGACAGCAGATAATGTGCTTCTGGAGGGGCTTAGAATCTCTTCTAAAGGGGAAGAGAAAATAGGTATGTGAGATATATTTACACACGGAAACACTAAATACATCACTAACTTAGCGGAACAAATAATATTAAAGGAGTATGAGAGGTGACTGTGCCCAAAGTTGGTTAGTTATTGTGAGAATAATAATGAACAGTGTTTGGGGGCAAAAAGGACCCAGCTTAGAAAGGAGAAATTGGAAATTCTCTTTGTTGCTTGTTGACTGTGTTCATTGAACATATCCATCTCCAGCCCTTAGCACAACACCTGACTCATCTTAGGGACCCAGTAGTGTTTGTTGACTGGGTGACTGACTGGCTGTGGTACTCTAGTGCAGGGTACACCAGTATGATTCAGTTTGTAAATTTTATAATTAATTCTTATATATCCTTTATACCCTCAGTCATGGAAGTTTTAGGATTTTAGAGCAGAAGGAACTTTAAGTAGCAAAACATTAGAGGTGTGCTGCCTTGCTTTTGTCCCTGCTAGAGTTCATTTCAGTCACCTTCTTTCTGACTTCCTCCAGCTGACCTGCATGTATATAAATCAACAGAAAAGGCAGGAGCTCATCTTTAAGTGATTTTCCAGCCTACGTATTTGGTTCACTCTGTCTCTGTTTCTCAGTCCTGCTGCCGCATTGCTTTCCTTTTACTTTTTTTAAGGGATTTCATTATGAAGCAGTTGCCTCTGAGAAACATTATTTCTCCCATTCAACCACACCAAAATACCCTCTGTCCCCATATTAGATGATCATATTTTGCTACCGTCATGACCCCACTGAAAGACTGTCCTATGTTTCCTTTTCTGCACAGATTTTTTTGGTCTCAAGTCATTTTGCACTCCTGGGCTTATACACTATGGAGGGAATTCTAATTTGAAAAGATAACACTCACTCCAGTGTTCATAGTAGTACTATATACAATAGCCAAGATATGGAAGCAACCTAAATGTCCATCAACAGACGACTGGATTAAGAAGTTGTGGTATATTTATTTATACAATGGAATACTACTCAATGATAAAAAAGAATAAAATAATGCCATTTGCAGCAACATGGATGGACCTGGAAATCATCACTCTAAGTGTAGAAAGCCAGAAAGAAAAAGAAAAATACCATATGATATCCCTCACATGTGAAATCTAAAAAAGGAAAAAGAGGACACTAATGAACTCATCTACAGAACAGAAACAGACTTGCTGACATAGTAGACAATCTTATGGTTACCGGGGGAAAAGAGGGTGGGAAGGGATAAATTTGGGAGTTTCAGATTTGCAAATGTTAACCACTATATATAAAAATAGATAAAACAAATTTCTTCTGCATAGTACAGGGGGCTATATTCAATATCTTGTAATAATCTTTAATGAAAAAGAATTTGAAAATAAATATATATTATACACACACACACATGACTGGGACATTATTCTGTACACCAGAAACTGACACATTGTAACTGAGTATACTTCAATTTTAAAAAAAGGAAATGCTTATATATACTTAAAAATCTATAAATGCAATGTTGTGTTCTGGATTGGATCCTTGAATAGAAAAGGGCCATTGGTGAAACAATTGGTGACCTCTGAATAAAGTCAATTTACATAGTATTTCATTTGTTAGTTTTGATCAGTGCACCATGGTGGTGTAAGATGTTACCAATAGGGAAAGCCAGGTGAATGGTATCTCTTTCCCTCCCTTGACTTTATGCTTCTTGAACTCAGATACTGGGACTGTCTCATTCATAATTGTCTTTCTAGTGCCTGGCACAGTCCTTGGTATATAGTAGACAGTCATAGATGTTAACTGAGTTGGTGGTTTCTTTCATTTAGGATACAAGAAAATTGCATAGTACCCCCTAAGACAAAGACAGAAAATGCTAGCACCATGAGTTTTGTTTTGGGGGTGTGTGTGTGGTGTCTTCTATCCATCTATGCTTTAGTACCTGTTTGCTTATCCATAATTGGTCTTTTTTTTCTGTCTACTCACTGTCATTTATCCAGATGTTATGAACTGACAGCAGCCAAAGATATTGGACAGATCAGAGTCTCAGTTTGAAATATTTTGTCCTATCATTCCAATCTGTACCTACATTCCCAAACTCATCACTATACACATAAGAAGATGGTTCATTAATGTGCTATTTGGCACCACCGTCCCCATTAATGAAATCCATAGGAGCCTTTAGACAGAGACACACAAGTTGCCACTCCAGTTGATTTTCTCAACTCCAAAATCTACTCATCTAGACACCAAATTCAGTCACCTTCATTAAACAGTGAAGAAGCTGAAGCTAGATGGGCTTTCCAACTTGCCTGAGATGACACAGCTGATTAATGACAAGAAACCTGGCACTCTGGCCCTCAGACCTGGACCACTGCATGGTATTCCTAGCACCTGGGGCTACATTAAAAACCAAAGATGAAAACTTTACTCCCTTTTTGGTATCTGTATTAGAAAGAAAAATATCAGAAAGGTATTATTATGGGTTTCTTAGAATCTGTGGGGAGGAGGGGAGAAGGCAGAGGAGAGGGCTTCCTGAATGAGATTTTGAAACTTATCAAGAAAAGTGTGTTTTGTGGCAGCACCTTTATTTCTGTTTCTGTCCTTGTTTTCAGAATCTTCCCTAGAGAATACCTCCTCCAGCAGATCCATCTGTATTCCCTTGCCGATCTGCAGCAGGTAAGCACTGAGGGGGCCATTTCATTTCTGTTTTCTTCCTTAGAAAGTGTTTTTGTTGATTATGGTCTTGGCACTGAATTCTGCTATCATTGGAGTAGTTTTCTTCACAAGCCCTGATGATCAGTTATTTTCTATTCAGAATGAGAAAAACACACTTAATATAAAAAGATACTATCGGGCAATAAGAAACACTGGCAAGGATATGGAGAAACTGGAGCTCTCATTCGCTGCTGGTGGGAATGGAGAGTGGTGCAGCCACTTAGGAAAAAGTTTGACAGTCCCTCAAAAAGTTTAATGCAGAGTTACCATAAGTAGCAGTTTCACTCCTAGGTATATATCCTAGAGAACTCAAAACATATGTCCACATAAAAACTTGTACAAAAATGTTCAAAGCAGCATTTTCATAATAGCCAAAAAATGGAAACAGCCCAAATGTTCATCAGCTAATGAATGGATAAACAAAATGTTGTATCTCTATGCAATGGAATATTATTCAGCCATAAAAAGGAGTGAAGTGCTGACCCAAGCAACAAGGGTAAATCTTGAGACCATCCTGCTGAAAGAAGCCAGATAGAAGAGAATACATATTTTATGATTTTCATTGTATTTGGACTTTTCTTAAAATGTCCAGTAGGCCAATCCACAGAGACAGTAGGTAAGGGTTTGCCAGGGCCTGGGGAGAGCCATGGGTGAGGAGTGGCTGCTGATGCTGTGGGGTTTCCTTTGGGGCTGATGAAAATGTTCTGGAATTAGTGGTGATGGTTGCACAACTTTGTAACTGTCCTAAAAGCCAGTGACTTGTGTACTTTACAAGAGTGAGTTTTACGGTATGTCAATTACATCAATAAAAAAATTGGACGAGGAAAAAAGACATAAAAGACAATGAATATATTAAACTCTTTGACTTGTCCCCAAGCCAAACAGTTGGATGACATTAAATTTTAGTAAAACACAGCAGAGTATGTAAGAGTCAAAATCATCTTTTTGTACTTTTATTAGTGCATGTATGTCCTTTTAATGATGGACCTGGTTAGCAGCCAGGAAGAAAACCAACACTGTCTCTTCAAACCAAGGCTCTGAATATGTTCAGCTTTGGTTAATCATTTAAATCAACAGCTCACTCCCTAAGAAGCTTTTAGACACTACATGAAAGCACTGCCTTCCTTTCCATATGTTGTGGATTCTTTCAGGAGTCAATTACAAAAAAATAATAACTGGGACAACTTTCAGAACAGCTCAAACTGCTGTGATTGAGTTCTTTTGTCTATTGTTGTTGTTTTCCTCTCTGGTGGTTTTGCCCAGAAGTGAGGTCAGCTTAATCTGTGTTCAGACCCTTCAGTTATTCTTCAAGGCTTAAAAAAAAAAATAAAAAGGTAAAACCTTGGCAAGTAATACAAACTTAAGACTTTTGTTTTCTTTTTATCCCCACAGAGGTAGGCAAGTTATTTTAAATGGTAGAAAGAGTGTTAGGGCATTTAGCGGGAGAGAGCTGAGAGAATGCTAGGGTTTTAATTTCCACTCGTGCATCCAGTTGAAACCTGTTTGCACATATCAGCTCCTTCCACTCCTCAGTCATGCCGCCCTTTACTATGTAATAAAGCAACAGTGATCTGCTGGCTGGAGTGGAAAGAGACACAGTTTTAATTTTGATTACCCAGCGGTGTCCAAGGGCAAGAATCAGATACCACACCCAGTACTACATTTATGTATTTTCTAGCCTCTACCTGATCTCAGTATCTGAGGGCCCCAGCTCTTATCACTGGAGAGGTGTGTTTAAAGGCACTGATGGCTTATTCTTGTAAAGGCAGTTTAAGACAGAAGGGGTGGGCTCCAAAGTGAGTCATCTTGAAGGAAACCTTTCAAAAATGCATTTTGATACCAGATGAAGAGAAAGAATCAGTAATTCCGTATTTATTTAGGGTGTCAAAGCAGTGTACCCACTTGGCATAATAAAGTCTTCTTTTTAAAGCTTTCCTATACCCTGCTGTCTTTTCTTCTTGTCTTTTTCCCCCTTGTAATCATCAAACCATACATGCCAAGCAGCTTACTGAAATCAGTGGCAGTGGTATCCTCGGTGGGCCAGACCATTAGCCCCGGAGCCCCATAAGCAGCTTAATCAGTTTTCAGCCTCACTAGTAAAGCAATCAGCAGCTTATCAAACTCCCTGTGGGCGGGGGCAGCCAGAGCACCATGCATCCATTTACTCCACAGTTCACTCCAACCTGTGTTTTTGTGCCTGGCTTTAAGATCCCCAAACCTCATATTTAGAGGAAGTTTAATTCAATTACTTCTTCTGCCTGAGGTGGGTTAAGTTGGATTTAGCTTTTGATCTGTCTGCATGGAGGTTCTCAGTACTGAAGGGCACGTCTGCCCCATCTTCCCTTGGTTTCTGAGTAAATTTCAGGCATGTTCTCTGGATCTGGTTCTTGCAAATATGTAAGAGAAGGGAACACAAGAAGGGGAAAAAATACTACTGCCTTGTGACAGAGCGTGTCAGGCTAGCAGGAAACCCCACCTAACTGACCCAGCTGCCAACCCCAGGTCATCCTGTACCATTTCAACTTCCGTCTGGGGGCTACAGCACCACTTCAAGTCAGCTGCAGGAGTTTTAGGGTAAGTTATTTTCCCCATTTGATTCCCATCCTCACTCCAAAAATAAAGGTCTCTATAAAAGCACCTCTTATATCATATAAAATAACTATAGAAAAATGAATTTCAGTTTATAAAATTTTGCAGGGGAAAGGAAGAAACTCCAGCAAGTAACTGAAGAATCATAGATCTCAAATAATGATAATATAAGTCATTCCTAAAGGCATAGATTCCTTTCTACAAATTTCTCTCAAGTGAATTTGAGTTTTCCCACTAGCTTTTATTTAAAAAACAAAATGTAGATATTTTCCTCTCCAGAAAGAAAAAAGGTTAAGATTAATAAACATGGTAAAGGGAGGTTTATAATTCAAGTATATATACAAAAATCTTAAAATATAGTACACAGAACACTAATACCATCCTCTATAAAGATGCTGAAAGAATTGTGATACCACAAAATTTGCAGCTTTCTTCTCTCTCTCCGTTTTCATTTTTGTAAGTTACAGCTCCCAAAGTTTTTTCAGTTAGACTCAATTCAACAAGTTGGCCGAAGATTTCAGGCTACTCTAATGCCTCTGATACTACATTCGAGACAGTTTTTCCCCTCTTCTCATTATTTGAATTCACTGGCCTCTTTACATGCATTCTACTATTGTACACTTGGACATGAGGAAATAAATGGCACCGACTGACACTGCTTAGCAGAGGGAACACCCTCTAGTTGTTCTAGGAGCTATAGTCGCCTGCACACTGATCAATATTTGTAGCTTATGCTGGTTCTCAGTTCCTAATTGTCTTTTTGTTTCACTGATAATTAAGTTGCTCACTGGATTTTACTTGGACACTGCAGAGGTGGTAGGTGACCACCACACAGCCATTACTTGATCAGTTGGCAGGCACTATATCATGAAAAAGTGAGTCCTTCTCCTGTGCTAGTGGCAGGGCCTAGGAAGGGGGCAGAAGATGAGGGGAGGGGCTCTCCAGATCCCAGGAGCTCAGGGGGTACACCATCCTGAGTTAGTCATGTCTTAAGTTTGGAATTTCAGATGAATTTCTGTTCAGTGAAGTAGATACTATTAGAAAAACATTCAATCTATATGCTCTTTGAGTGTAAATCTGACAGAATATACTCTTTTTTAAAAACTAACATAAAATCTTACAAACAAACTTCCAGGAGATTTAAGTGCAGAGCGGTTTTTTGAACTGATGGGCAGTTCCTCATAAAGGACTTGGCAGGCAGTGACTGTGAATATGTGACTGAGTGGACAAGTGTTAGTGCCTATTTTTAATGGGGAAATGAGGCTGCTTTTTAAGAGCTTTTTCCTGGTTTGGTACTTTGAGAAGGGAAAGTAGAGTAGAGTTTGTGTTTTGACATTTTCAGTCTACCAGGATCAGCAGGAACCCATGGGGTGCTTTACAATAGGAATACAAATTAAAAAAAAAAAGATAGGTTCCCAAGAGATAGGAGAAACGGTACCATAACCCTCAACGCGTTCGCTTTTGGTTGTAGTTCTCCCCTTTCCCTGTTGAGTGTGTGACAAACCATCTCCTCACTCAGATCCCTTTGGCTCTTTTGACATTGATAAGAAAGTTCCACATTGTATCAGTAGAATACATCAGTATATGCATGTTAGTTGGTCTTAAGGAGCAAATCACAACCATGGTTTAATATGCCATTCCTCGGGCTGTGTAAGTGACAGGAGACTTCCTCTAAAGTTCCTTCTACCTGCTGAAAGTTCAGATTTGACTTCTAAATTTTGGCTACCTGTGCTCTTGTGACAAAAACCTAAAATGGATATAAATGACTAGCTCTTCTGGTGTTACTCACCTTTGGGACGTATGTAAGTTAAGCAATGAATGATTCTATTTGTACAGGCTTCGTGAGAAAGGATATTGGATGATCCCAGGGGTGAGGCAGGTGGTTAGAGTAACTCCTCCCTGCCCACTCCCTCCATGGCTCACCACCTCACCTGCCAGAATGCATACACCTCTTGTGGGGCAATCGGAGGAGCCGACTTCCCCACTGTTCACCTTCCCTGGGCTCTAACTTTCCAAACCAGACCCTACCTTCAGGTTAAGGCAATTAGATTCTAGTTTATATGAAATATATATATATATATATATATATGTATATAAAAACACAGACATGCCTCATTTTATTGCACTTTGCAGATACTTCACTTTTTTTAACCAATAGAAGGTTCATGGCAACCCTGTGTTATCAGATAATGTTTAGCATTTTTAGCAATAAAGTATTTTTTAACGAATGTATATACTTTTTAAAACCATGCTTATACGCTTAATCCACTACAGTATAGTGTAAACAACATTTATATGCACTGGGAAATGAAAAAATTCATGTGACTCGCTTTATGGTGATATTCGCTTTATTGTGGTGGTCTAGAACTGAA